ACATAAAAGATAGTCTAAATGAACTTCGTTATTATAGGAAATATCTATTTGTATCATAAAATAAAAATAAAAGTAGATTATTAATTTTCTTATTGTCATAATTATAAACAACTTGCATTTAACTACTTACGCATCAAGTGATATACTTCACGAAAAAACAAATATGAAGAAAGAAATTTTTTCATTGCTTTATTTTTGAGAAAATATGAAAAGAACATGTGTGTGAATTTATTATATCTTTTTAGAGAACAGAAAAAAGTCTCGACCAGAAAAAGAGACTCATCGACTACGCGTCAGTATATTTTATAATTTCAATATTATATGTATATACACAGATATATGTATAGTATATATTAATATATATATGTATAGATATATGTATAGTATGTATTAATATTAATTATTTAAATTTTGACAATGTAAAATCAATTTTAAATAATATAAATTAAAACAATGTTAAATTAAGGCCTACTAAAAATAAATCAGTCAATAAAATTTTAATTAATAACTAAATAAATTTTAAATAATAACTAATATATATAACAATTAAATTATACTAATATATAATTTGAATAATAAATAATCGCATTATAAAAAAATAAATAAATGATCATATTAAAGTAATACATAAATATATATATTACTAAAATTCAAAAATACATAACAGAAAGATTTGTATCACAAATTTTAGATAGATTATCTAAATTTCATGGAAAAAAAGTATCTCGATCAGACAAACACACAGATACGCCATCAGTGCATGTATATATGTACGTCTCTCGGTTGTAGATCCATGTAGGTCAATGCAGTGTTGATCAGCGTGAATGCATTGGGGTGCGGCGCAGGGCACGCAAACGTCAGTCGACGTCGGTGACTGTTCGGGAGACTGACTGACTGAAGTCGCGATCGGGAGTGATCGAGAATGCTCGCAGCTGGCTGTCGCGCGAGAGAACGAAAGGGTGATGGCGAGTAGCGATGGTAGTGCTGGGTGACGGTGTTGACGACCGCCGCGGATTTTTTTTTACGAATGGCTCTGTCCGAGGTGCATAATCTGGCCGCGATTATCGGCAGCAATGCTTTCGCCGTTGGCAAGGTGAGGAAGACATTATCTCTTTCTTAACATACATTCTACATGCTCATGTCTTCATCGATCTGAAAATTCGAGATATTTTTTCCTCGCTGGCATTCGATGGAAATTGATGGAACATACGTACACATATGTACGTGATGTGCATACGTCGCCGACGGTTTCTAGTTGCACCGCGTTTACACTCTCTACACTCGTAATGACATAAGCATGTATATACTTGGGCGTCGCGGTGGGAAAAGGAAGAGAAGAGAGATTGCATGAAAATTGCGGCTAGAAAGAACGGACTCGTCGTGCCGCACATCCGACAAGGAAGGTGAAAGGGTGCGATCTGCGTTTGTTTGTACCCGTGCATTACTGTTAAATACGGAAACTACGAGAGAGAACGCCCGCGCGGGGTAAGATCCGTTTCGCTTGCATATCCAATTTCCGCGGATGGTACAAATGGTGACGATATTCGCCCGCGTCTGTCTTCACTCGTCGATCGCTGACGAACGAAGATATTCGCGCGTATTATTGGATCTGCCCTCTGTGTTCGTCGATGCCTATCCCGTCCTGTGTGTGCCTGCACATGTATGCGTGTGTATATATATATATATATATATATATATGCTGAGTGTGTGTGTGTGTGTTTGTGCGTTTTGCGCGCCTGTGTCGCGGCCTCGATCCTGACAGCGATAGCCTCATCGTACGCTCTCCCGCCTTCGATTCGTTATTAAGATTCCATCGTCATCGGCTCGTCGCGACGTAGTCGCGTAACATTCCCGAGCCACCCTCGAGTCGCGCCGTTCGAAAACAATCGATAGACTCTCTCTCTCTCTCTCTCTCTCTTCTCTCTCTCTCTCTCTCTTCTCTCTCTCTCTCTTTTCTCTCTCTCTCTTTCTCTCTCTCTTTTTTTCCGCCGCCGCGCGAGACTCGTCCCCGCTGATTTCTCGAGAACGATTGTGAACGAGCACGATTGGGCAAAGGGCAGCGCGAAATTTCGCGGAAGTCACGATCGCCCCGTTGAATCTCGCCACACGTCGTCATCGCGACGCGTGCCTTGAATATGAGATCTCACGACGATGACTTGCTTTCTGTAGAATAACGAGACCGAGCGCGGTACCAATATGCTGGAAGTACCACGGAAGGTTTACTCTAGGGACATGCACGGCGTGGAGTACAATCATTGGAGCTATGACTTAACGGGTTGCGGCACAAAAAGAAACGTAAGTGAAAGACTTCTTTTTATTGCGGCACTGGGCTGCACTAGAATTTTTTTTTGGCTTTCGCCAAATATTAAATATATATGTGATATCTGTTTTGCATTTGATATGTTTTTATGATATGTTTAGATGAACCTCTTGCACAATTTATCTCTTTCTTCTTTTTCTTTTCACATTGAGGAGAAAAAAGAAAGATGAACTGAAGCAAGAAGTTCAACTAAGAAGAGTAGATCTTAAGCAAGAAGTTTATACTAGTTTAATTATAACAGACCTGAAATGTTAGATTTGTTTTTATTCCTACTAGAAGTTCTCGCTTTCATCAAATTTCAAATATAGAGTAGGTGTTTAAAATTTAATGAAAGCAAGAAGGAAGATTCTAGTACAGTCTCTCTATATATAGTGCAAGATTAATAACAAAACTTTCAAGTACAAAGAGTATATACCAATTTTGAAGTACAATCTAGGTTTATTTTTATTTCTGCACTAAAAGTTTTTTCTTGCTTATATTAGATTTCAAACAAAAATCTGTTTTACTTTTTTTCTGATTTTATAGCTAAACCAGTGTATACTTTTTATACTTAAAGTGGAATAAATAAATTTTAAATTTGATGAAACCAAGAAAAAAGATTCTAATGCAGAAGTAAAAAATAAATTTTTTGAATTTACAGAGAGTATATAGTTAAGCTATAAGAAAATAGATCTAAGATTTTGATGTATGCGATTACATCTTTTATATATAACAGTAACATATACATATACAATAGATTTATTTTTTATTGTTGTACTAAATTGCCCTAGAACTTTCTTTCTGGCTTTTATCAAACTTTCACTTTAAATATAAAAAGTGTTCACTGTGGATGCTTTTCAGAAAGGATCGCAAATGACACAGAGTATCATAAAATAACTCACTGCTGGTGCTTTCCATTTAGTAATACGAGTCAACATCCTATTTTTCTTGTTATTCATATCTATATAACAAAGACAGAACACACTTGTGTCATTAAATGGAAAGTACCAATAGTGAGTCATTTTATCTCTGTGCTAATATTAGCACAAACAACAAGAATGTAATAATTAACTGTATTATATCACACATCACCCATGTCTCTTGCCGGAAAGCAAGTAGTTTAGCTATAAAAACAGATCTAATCCCTCCTAATGGATTATTAATGTTATGCATTCAATTGCGATTTGTTTAGATGAATATCGAAGACGAGGATAGTCAAGACTTAAACAATCCCATGGTCAACGACTTGGTATCAAAGATTCTCGACGATGATTCTATTACCATTGACACCTGTCACAATAATTACAGTGGAAGTACTCATTACCAGACGGACTATGTCAATTCTTGCTCCAATCAGGTCGCTGACGGTTTGGACTATTTGACCGATGTCGATCACTTGGTCAGTCGTTATCCGCTGTCCAGCAAGTTACACAACATTCACAACAATGTCAAGAGCGAGTACCGTCATTCCAATAATCTCTGCAACGACCTGAAAACATTGAATCTCAGTACCTGCGTGCGACAATCCGTGGAGCAGAACAATGCATGTAGCAACGATATCGTGCCGAATGCATATTCGTCTGACCCACGATCGGTGCACGTTGTACACTCCAACGATGGTGGCATGTATACGAGTGGGAGCAGCATGCCATTGTGCAATGATCTGTTAACGACTACGAGTGGAGTAAATTACAGTAAACAGTCGAGCAACTGGACGGAATCTCTCCAGTTGACTCCGTCGATGGGATGCCGAGCCGAGCTGAGCGGGAACTACTCACGAATCTCAAATTGCGCTAAACCGGATCTCAATTTTAATGTCACCGCGTTAACCCTGGCTCTGGATTCACCGAATTCCGTTCCCATCAGCGAGTTCGAGTATCACAACAGCGTGAGACAGAACGCATCGAACTCGTACAGTAATTCTATGGTCAACATGCACGATATGTACGGCGTTACCAGTAACCCTAGTCAGGGTCCCGGCTACAGGCCCAACTCGGCGATGACCGATCTGAGCGTTGATTCTGGCTTCTTGTCGAATTCACCGCTACAACATTTTTCGCCCGCCGATACGGCTTTGCACACCTGTTTCGGAAGTGGTATGCAACGCAACGGCATCAGCGATTTCAAGGACGTTCATGATACCGCTAGATTAAATATGACGAGTATCAACATACCTAACGAGCAGATTCAGTTCTTACAGCAGTCGCAAGCACGTAGCTACAAACTGGATCAAGCAGTGGACCAAGATTACAAAAATTTAATCGATTATTATCCTCCTGGTACAAACAGCTTCGTCACATCTTCGGCGAGTAACTTAGACACGAACGAGAACGTTTGTTTCCCTAGTGACTGTAGAATCGATAATAGC